CCATATATTCGGATGCTAAATAAGATTCTTATTTGGAGCTACCCACGTCTGCTGTAGTTGGATATGACATTTTTAATATTCATAACAAAATTCCTGTCATAAAAGATATGATGGGATCTAGCACCATGTGGTTCCATGGTCTAGTGGTTAGGACATTGGACTCTGAATCCATTAACCCGAGTTCAAATCTCGGTGGAACCTTTTCTGCTCTTTTTTTGGACTGCAGAGCTTCTTGAAAATGAGTGCTGTAAAAAATGGCAAACCTCATACCTTTATTGGACCATTGTCTAGTGGTCACGACATTGGAATCTGACCCCAATAGTCCAATTTCCAATTCTAATGGAAGGTGTTAACTCTACGGTCGTAGAAGTTGAAGTCATTCTATGTTGATTTTGACTCAAGTATGTTGTGTTGAAATCCTTTTGTCTAAAAAGCTGATGTCACCCATCCATCCGTCAATGGTTCCATGGTCTAGTGGTTAGGACATTGGACTTTGAATCCAATAGCCCGAGTTCAAATCTCGGTGGAACCTTTTCCACCACCTGTGTTTCCCCCTTTTACTCTTTTTTGGTGTCCTACAATAATTACTGTTTTTTTTCTTTTTTTGTTTCTTTTGTTTATTGTTTTTAGTGCATGTAACTGCTAGTTTCTTTCACATGTTCTCTTTCGATCTTGCTCAGAATATTCGCTAATTTGTGATTCATTGTTGTAAATGGTAACTTCTTCACAAAATGTCTTGAAAGTATCTTTTTATCACATGATTTTTATTGAATTCTTGAAAACTTTGTCATTTGTTTGGTGATGTCAGCTTTATTTAAGCCACTTCTCAGTATCATAAAACCTGAGTACTTGTTACTGCACCTCTGTTATTATCCCACTTCTCTTAGAAGTTTTGGGTTTCCTTTGTGCTACCTGACTTTCTATATTTACTACTTTTTTCATTATATTTGTCTTGAAAAAGTTTTGTTATGCCTCAAGAAGGCATATTGAAGATGTTACAAAACTTAAGACATAATTGGAAACCAAACAGGGGTATTCTCATTGAATTTATGCTTAAACCGGAATGGGTTTCTGGTTACCTGATGTTATTAGGCCAAATAACCTTCCATCTGATGGTTCCATGAGATGGAGCTTAGAACCTTGGACTTCCAATCCAAGAGCCTGGGTTCCAATCTCCTGGAGTGGTTTTTGTTCCTTGAGTGGCGTTATTTCTTGTTATGACATGTAAGGGATGTGATTTAATTTGACAATGTTTTTAGAAATTAGTTTGATGGTATTGGTTTTGTCCTGGGAATATCTAGCATTGAAATCTTAATCTTCTACCATTGGACTTCCGGTGGAGTTGGATATGTATATAGTGGAATCTCTGATTTCTTGGCTCCCAAAAAAAGAATCCATATATTCGGATGCTAAATAAGATTATTATTTGGAGCTGCCCAGGTCTGCTGTAGTTGGATATGACATTTTTAATATTCATAACCAAATTCCTGTCATAAAAGATATGATGGGGTCTAACACCATGTGGTTCCATGGTCTAGTGGTTAGGACATTGGACTCTGAATCCAATAACCCGAGTTCAAATCTCGGTGGAACCTTTTCTGCTCTTTTTTTTGGACTGCAGAGCTTCTTGAAAATGAGTGCTGTAAAAAATGGCAAACTCAGATCTTTATTGGACCACTGTCTAGTGGTGACGACATTGGAATCTGACCCCAATGGCCCAAGTTCCAATTCTAATGGAAGGTCTTAACTAATGGTCGTAGAAGTTGAAGTCATTCTATGTTGATTTTGACTCGAGTGTGTTTTGTTGAAATCCTTTTGTCTAAAAAGCTGATGTTACCCATCCATCCGTCAATGGTTCCATCATCTAGAGGTTAGGACATTGGACTTTGAATCCAATAGCCGGAGTTCAAATCTCGGTGGAACCTTTTCCATCTTTTTTTTTTCCCTTCTACTTCTTTTTTGGCGTTGCATTCATTAGTCTTATCATTTTTTCTTTTTTCCTTTTTGTTTTGTTTTTTTTTTGTGTTTGTTTTTGTTTTTGGTGCATGTAACTGCTTGCAGTTTCCACATATTCTGTTTTGATATTGCTTCTCCGTTCAACTTTGCAAATTTGGAAATCATTTTTCTGAGATAGCTTGTTGAGAATAAATTTTCTTAAAAGTATGTTTTCCTTGTATGAGACATCTTTGAAAACAATCTTTAAAACTTTGGCAAGAATCAAGCTATGTCGGTTGTATTGAGTTCACTTGTCAATCTCTCAATTTGTAGAAAAGTTGGTTTGCTTCTGCATTACCTGAATTTTTATTTTTATTTTGTTCTATGGCCAAGTTTTGTAAATGGGTACAAAACTTGAGCAAAACCAGAGTATTGAAGATTGTACAAAACTTGAAACAAAACACCAATTTGAACAAGATCGCGGTGATTGAATTTTGTTCTTAAACCAGAGTATATATCTGATTATCTGCTTTTTGTTATTAGACCAAATAATCCTCCATCACTCAATGATTCCAAGTTCTTTTTTTTTTTTTTTTATTTGATACTAGATTCCATGTTCTGGAGGTTAGACCTCGGACCTCTATTTCTTGCCTTCAAATCTTCCAGTGTCTTTCCGCGCCCTAGATTATATTAATGCTTAATATAACGTGCAATTAATGTGATTTTGTTCAATAGTTTTTGAAGAAATTAGTTTTACAGTATTGTTTTGATCTTGGGTACATCCAACATTCTAATCTCTGTTTATTCTTCTATTATTTGGCTTCCTGTGGAGATGGTTATCTAATTGTTTTTCTTTATCGTATAGTTTTCTTTTCCTGTACCTTGCAAGGCCTCAATTTCTTGTTGGAATATGAATTCAAATCCTGAGCTGAAATCTAATGGAGAACCATATGTTTTAGATTCCCTAAATTGGATTCAATAGATTTTGGATCCTGAATGGGATCATTATTTCAGTTTGTCCGGGTTGCTGTAGTTGTATATGAAAGTTTTCATATTTAGTTTTCGATCATAAAAATTTTGATGGGACCCTATCACCATGTGGTTCCATGGTCTAGTGGTTAGGACATTGGACTCTGAATCCAATAGCCCGAGTTCAAATCTCGGTGGAACCTTTTTCCTCTTTTTTCCTACAGGGGAGCTTGTCGAAATTTATTGTTGTGCAAAAGATGGAAATAAAGGATCTTTCTTGGATTTTCCATGGTCTAGTAGTCACGACATAGAAATCTGAGCCCAGTAACCCAAGTTGAAAATTTAGTGGATGGTCTTCTCTTTCTCCAAAAGTTTTATGTGATCGAGCCATCCGTAGATGGTTCCATGGTCTAGCGGTTAGGACATTGGACTTTGAATCCAATAGCCCGAGTTCAAATCTCGGTGGAACCTCTTTCCCCCTCTTTGTCCATTTTAGGTTGGTGGGTTCCTCAAGTTTTTTTTTTTTTTTTAGTTTTTATTTAATTTTTTTTTTTTAATTTGTTTGTTTTTGGTGTGATACCTTCTGTAAGTTTTCCACTTGTCCTCTTTCATTATTGCTACTTAAATATGTCTTCCTTATTTGTAAATGGTTTTCCTAAGTGCAGCTCTCATGACAATGATGTTTCAAAAAGTATGTTTCAAATGGTTGTCCTTATTTGAAAGAAATCATGAAAACTTTTCTTCTAATTAAGCTCGGTTATTGTCAATGTCATTGAACCTTTGTACTCGTTACTACACTTTTACTATTGCACCAATTCTCTTAGTAGAAGTTTTGGTTTTCTTCTGTAATCTGAATTTTTATTTTTGTTTCATTTCACTGTGGTTCTGTATTGGATAAGTTTTGTACATTCCTGTGTCAACAAAGTTTTATGCTCCTTAAGATTCCTGCTGTAAGAAATCCACCAAAGAGAGGATTTTGTTTTTCTTCTTTCCCTCTATTTTGGAATTAAGAAATGGAAAAGATTGATTAATTCTTAACTCTTGTAAGCTCAGCATTGGTATAATACAGGTTTAGAAAAATTTATGTTTTCCCGAGTTGAGTAGTCACCTCTTCTTGCAAAGTAAATCACTCTGTTACTTTGTGCTGAGGACTTTCTTTTGTTTTCATGGCCATAGTCAATTTTTATGTATTGATATGTTTATTCTTCTTCATTGAGTATTTGTGGTCTTTTTAAAGTTCTCTACTCACTAGCCATGTCTTTGCATGAATTAATAGACTAGTATTATCGGTTTCTGAGTGCTTTAAGTCTTGTGAAGTTTATATTGTATTTGTCGTGTTACAGCTTGTCTTGCACGTTGATGATGTGTCATACTATCTAACTGGATTATATGTTCCACTTCGTTCATGCCTTGTAGCTACTCTTCATAATTGGTTTGGATTTGGATAAAAACTGTACAAGTCCAAAATTAATCATAATTGATCATGCTTTTCAGCGTCCCTTGTTGCTATTCTGTATCATAAAAAAACGAAGCATCTTGTTGAACATAAATGGTGTAGCAGAAATGAAAATGTTGGGATGTGGCACATAGCATAATGCATTAAACGAAAGTGGGTGTTATCTGTAGAAAAGAAATAAAATGAAAGGTCTCCCTTAAGTTGGTTTGAGCAAGCGCGTCAGAGACCTTTAAATGCTCCAGGGGTACTAGTAGAAACATAGTATCGTCAATCTAATTAAAAAGAAGACTGTTAGAATAGACATGATTAATTTGAAAAGAAATGAAAATCTGTTTGATATTGCATGATTGTGACATGTCCCTGTAGCTGATCTTACATAATGAAATAATTTTTAAGTTGTTACTCAAAAGTATATCATCTGTTTCCACATGACGGCATGATCCAGTTTTGAAGAAAAATCTTTGAAATAAACTGCATGTATTGTTTGTTTCTTTTAATGAGTTTGCTAGCTGTTGTGGCGTCAATATTTCGGGAACAAATAGTGACCTTCACTAACAAAAATTTCTAGATTGATATGTAATACCGTACAATTTGAATATTTCCTTCTACGGTTCTCTGAGATTTTATTTGCTCTTGGCAGCCTCCTCAAAGATCTCTGGATGGTTACAAGCATGTTGTGGATGTGGAATATTGTCCCCCTGTTTCGTCAGAGGGTCCTCATTTTCCTCCGGAAGCTGCAAAAGCAAAAGAGGCAGCTCAAAACGCTCCCAATGTGCAAAACACCCTTGAATATCACGATATCATGGAAGGTAGTCTCCTCACATTAAAGTTCCCACTAGTTCTGTTAACCCATTTGCCCCTTAAAATGTGACATGCATATTTGTATGATTGCACAGAGGAAATGATACGTGGGTTACAACAGCTGGGATGGAAAAAAGTTGATGTCAGCTTCCACTCGGCATTCTGGCCGTTTTTCGCCCATAACAACATTCATGTAAGACTATAGTTGCTGTGTGGAATGTTTGATGAGATGTATAATTTGGTTGGTTAGGAAAATAAAGGATGTTCTATGTTGCCGTCTCAGGTGAAGAATGAGTGGTTTCACAATGCTGGTGCTGGAGTTGTTGCACATGTTGCGGATAGCATAAATCAACAAGAGAAGCAGCTGGATCCTCCTACCTACATTGCTGCTAGCTTGTAACTCAAATTCTTAATAATGTTAAAATTCTATTCCAAAAACATATTGTAGTCATTGAGAAAGCTTAAATAAGTTTGTAATCTCTTCATATATATTGCTACGACACATTGTAACTGAGCAGTAAGAATTAGATTATCTTTTGGACCGGAGCTCTTAGGATAATTTTCGGAAACAGTATTTACAAAATTATAAAATTTACAATATCTGTGGGGTAACTTTCACGCGGGAAAAAATTGTCAATCCGAAGAGGATGACAAATTAAGCAACAAGTAGTCAAACGCAATGTCAAGTTCTGCTACACACTATCTGTTCTAATAGAAATTTTAAAATATCACATCATAGCAACCTAAAATGTATTGAGCTTATAATATAATAAATTTGTGTAGTTTTACTTTTGGTAATAACGCTACTTTCTTAACTATAGATACACAAGCGAAGTGTGAATCTTTTTACTTCACGTTGGAGTTAAAGAGTTGAACTCAATAAGTTGCTTTGTTTACGCAAAAAGTCAAACGGTTGTAGTGGTCTAGTAAGAAGTCCTCATAAATTGAGGGTTTGAATCTTGTTATGGCATGATGAAGCAACTTTAGCCTATCTACAATGAGAGTTAGTCGCTATCATCAAAGTGGCAGAGGATTAGACACACATGCATTAGTTTGGACGATTTTTAACCTTTGTGTTGCCTAGTTTGTCTTTTCAGATCCATGTTCAATAATCAAGATGCTACTCTACTCATCTGCAGCATCTAATGACCAGGTAAGTGTGGTAAATCTTTAAGGTTAAAAGAAATGAAATTATTGAAGAAAGTTTTTTGACATGGCACGTACTTATTGGTTCGATGATGATATACAAATTGTGAGGTTAAACCGCACAAAATTTTCTTCGATAATTATGTACTTATTATAAATAAATGTAGGGGAGTTGTGTCTATTTAAAATTCCAAGGCAACTACAATTCTGATTATTGTTAATGCTACGATATAATTTCTTTTTACCCGTCAGAGACGGCATCTTTCAAGTTTATTAGTACCGCGTAAGATTGTGCAGTTGAACGCGCCAAAATACAACATAAATATATTAGTACAGATTGTGGACATCGGATGTATTAATAGAAATTCACACGCACAAATTCTTCCCTAGTTCGCTCATCTTTCTGTCAAGAAGAATAAAATAAAATTGCCTCTTTGCAAAAGTTTGAAGTTAAGAGATAATTTCTGCATTTGGAGTTTGGATAGGTGTTCAGAACCGCAATTCATCAGGGGTGAAGAGTAAGAAATCAGCACCAGAAAAAGGAAGAGCAAGGGAAAAGGTATTTAATTTCAGTATGATTTAGTTTTAAAATTAGTAGCGCAGCTTTTATTTTTCTGTTACTTAATTTTTGGATAGCTTTCTTCGTCTGACCCCAATTTAAGTAGCTATATATTTCTTATGCTATATTCTTCAGGTAGCAATTGCTTGAAGGATCGTTAACATATTTTCCATGAATAATTCAAATTTGTTTTTTGTTTTCGTTTTGGGGGAAAATTATATAATTACGTTTAGTTCAGTTTAGCACCCGGAAAAGGCTTCATTAATTTATTTTTCGGTCCACTTTGTTCATATTTTAAAAGGAAACCAGGAGTCCAAACTTAGGTCATTAGGGTTCCTTGAATATTGAGGAACACATTATATTTATGTGGTATTGCCTTCGGTTAGTTTTCTGAGTAAAACAATGAAGGAAAGACATCAAGGAAATAGAAGCTGTAAAATTTGCTTCAAATTGAAAATACCTGGAGGTGAAGATCGCGTAAAAATTAATCATAAAACCTGATCCATCCAATAATTTTTCGGTAAGGGATGAGGGGAATGTTAGGTATTCAAATTTCGTGTGTTTTTTTTTTTTTTGGTATTCAAATTTAGTATTGGTTTAGTTCTGATTGATGAGTTTGTGATTGATATTTTAAAATTTGAGATTAAAGCTTAAGAAAAAACATCAATTTTGACACACAATGCATTGATCTCCTTAGCTAATTAAAGTTAGTTTCAAATCATCTTCTTCACTTTGATAGTCTAGGTTGTGGAATTGGGATTTGTTTCCTAGTAAATATTTCTGGATTCATTTTCTTAATAATATTATTCATCATGTAAAACTGTCTTCTTGTTGCCCGCACTCTTTGGAGATTCTAACAAGATGAAATTCAATCATAGGATGAGATCGCAAACAAAGATGACTGCAAATGAGCAATCAACCAATGGGCACCAACTTCCGTATGAGCGCGATTTCGAAGCTCAAAAGAAAGATGTTATGGCAGTACTAAATCTATTGCAGATGAAACGGGAACCATTAGACCATGGAACCACAGAAGAGTTGAACGAAATGATGAATAAGACCTTGGGACGAAGAAGGCGCAACATTGAAGCGACGAATAGGATAAAATCCAAGTCCAAACAATGTTTAGGTTCCAAAGATCACCAACACTTGGAAGACATGGATAAGGAGAATGCAAGAAAAAGGCGAAAAATCGAGTTCATAAATGAAAAATTCGAGCCCGAAAGATGCAGTTCCAATATGAAGAAAACTATTGTTTATCAGTGCCCGAATATTGGGATGGGTTCAGATGGTTGTGTCCTTCCTGATTTGCCTCCAATACCCGAAATTCTAAACATTATTGGGAAATGCAGCAGGCCTTTCGAGAAACAATTGACATTTTCCGATTTGGAAAGGTCTCAAAACAGGCTCAATTTCAACAAGGAATATGTACAAGGTGCCCTAATGCCAGTCTTAAAAGCAGGAGAGGAGGATCTGAACGTTGGAATTCCGGTAACGGTATTCGATTGTCGAGATAAAAGATATTCAATGAGATTGAAGTGTTGGGATAGAGCTCATGCTTTGAATGGAGGATGGAACCAGTTCGTTGATGATCGGAAAGAGCTTAAAACTCCATTTGAGAAAAATGTGGATTGGGTTACTGTGTGGATTTTTAGGCACAAAATAAGTGATGAACTTTGCGGTGCTATTACTTCAAGAAGGTTGGATACAAAGGATCCCATCAAACGAAATAGGAAAACTGTTGTCCATCATCAAGCCCTAAAATCTTAGGGAAAAGCTCTGCACAATGAAGGTAAAAAAGATAAATGACCCTCTCTATCGAATATAATGATTGTCACGTTTGTTGATTCCACACCACCTCCCAACCCCCGAAAAAAGAATTTTCATTCTATGTATCATTTACTCTTAGCATATCACAACTTAGTTTCTGTTTCGTATGGCGTCATTCTATATGCTTCCATAAAATTAAGAATTTCTTTTTTCTTTATGGTCCTAAAACTATTTTAGCCTATATGCGTAAAGATATTGTTTTGCTACGGAGAAAAATGTTAGATTTTTCTCTTCAGATGTGAATATGGGATGGTGGAGAAAAAAGAGAAAGGTGAAATTATGAGGTTTATTAATAGAAGTGTCTGGAGCTTGTTATGTTTAGTTCATTTCTGGCAATGATCAAATATATTTTTTACAAAAAATAAAAATAAAAATATGATCAAACCAAAAACTTCCTACGGTTCTAAAATACTAAAGGGTGTGGATTGAATTTCATTCACTAATTTTTCCATTTTTGTTTCATGTTAGACCAAGTATGTTGTTCTAAGCGGATATAACTTACATTCAAACGAATTCTCTCTCGACCTCCGTCAAAATCTCTTCGGCAGTTAAGATTGTTATTTAGTTATATAATATTGTAATTTGTTAGATTTTCTCTGATGTGTACATATATTTGTAAATAGAGAAAAGACATGTCAGTAAGAGGGGTTTCTAGATTAAAGTTGGGTTACCATAAAGAGAGGAACAATGGCATTAGGGGTGAAACACCTACTTTATATGTATTTTGGTCGGTTCACTACAAAAAAAAAAGCTTTGGTGACCAATTTTTTGTGATGAGTGGAAAGTTGGTCACCATTTTTGGTATTTGGTGACCAATTTCGTCATTTAGTCTTGAAAGTTTGGTCATCAAACTAATTTAGTGACCATGAAAGGAACTTGGTCACGAATATGGTCACTAATTTATGCAAGCGGAAAACAATCTCTAAATAGTGACTAAAGGAGGGGACCAATTGAGTCTTTGGTCACTATGTTTTTGTTTTGTGACCATTCTTTGTGGTCATTTCACAGAAAAACTTTTAGTGACTAATTTCTTGGTCACTAAGTTATGACGGGAAATAGACCCGCCAGTTTATTTTTGCCCGGATTTGAGTTGGTCTCCAAATATTTGGAGGAAAATTTTCCCGCGTAAATTTTGTTACCAGCAAAGCAAAATGTTGGTCACAAAAATTTTGGCGAAAAAAGAGTTTAATTTATTTTTAACACTAAAGGTTTTTTTTCTTATTTGAATTTATACTCAAATTTCATGAATTACGTTAGTTTATGAACATTTTTCATGTTTAATTTATCTACTTCTAAGCATGCGTTAAAACAATTACTTAGAAAGAATTGTTAGTTTAAGGGTAAAATCACACTTCCTCTTACAGAAGGTTTTGAGTTTAATTATCCTATTTAACATGAGTTAGGGTTGGTTCTACTTTTATTGAAAGCCATCTATCAGAGAGTATGTTGTGGCAATCAAAACTTGTCATCTTTGGTTTTCCAAAGATAATTCATATTCCATTGTGATTATAAATTTATTGCCAATGATGTGGGTTTGCCCAAAAAAGATTTAAAAAACTTATTATTTATATCTTTCCTGTTTTTTAAGCTAAATCCAGGGCGGTACCTGAAAAAAAAGGAATCAGTACTAGCGAGTGATCACTTAAATGGATAGTGCAATAGATTAGCAGTTAAAGTTTGATGACTACTGCCATTATTTGTAATCGCTATGATTAATGTTAAAAAAGAAAAAAGAAAGACTTCTTATACGTGCTGGGCCAAATTATAAGTTATGCCCAATTCTTGTAAGTTTATTAAGTAATTGGTCCTGATTTAGTGTATTTTCATTATCACACTGTGGCACCGTAATATTTTATAAATAAATCCACAAAATACGACATGTTTGTATAGGGATATTATTAGGTAGTTTTCTTCATACACATGTTTTTCACTTTTCAAGTTTTCAAAAAAGTTTCATCAAAATCTTATTAATCTATGCTCTGAAAATCATATTCTAGACAAACGATGTTCAGTCATTCTTAAAAATGAATATACATCATTATGACGGACTAAAGTTACAGTACATAAGGTAGAGTATAGATATTAAACTATACAATTTTACCACCGCTTTACAGTTCATGACTTCTTATATACTAGTTCATTACTTCATAACTCATGAATAACAATAAAGAGATGAACTTATGACCATTATTAAGTTAATACAGACGAATTGAAGAAATTGTATATGAAGTAATCACATTGTTAGCTATTATAGCATATTAGCAATAACAATTAATGAAATAACAATGATCCAAGTTAATAGTTATTATATTATTCATTCTTAGAAATGGTTAGTATTTATAATTTTATATTGGTAATAATCAGTTTTGAAAAAATAAAGATTACTGTGCTACAAAGGGTGATTTATCATGCACTAGTTAATATCGATTAATTACTGTAAAGTATATTTTTAATAGTAAAATATCATATTTAGAAAATTGTTTATTATTTGTCTACAATTAAAATTCTAAAAATATTTTTAAGGGCGTAATTGAAATTGATTAGGCATTTTTTGGGGTCGACAAATGAAATAAGGAACTAAAGGGTTCATTATAGAATATAAACGGGGTTAATTTTAGAACTTATTCATTTTTTGGGTCCAAAATAAAACTATGTAAATTACTGGAATATATAAACTTTACAAGTGTTGAAAAAAAATCAAATTACCCCCTAAACTTTAACTTCAAAGCTCAGACCCCCAAAACCACCCATCGTCGGCTTCCTCCCTTTCCCTATCTGCTGTGTGCGTCGTTGGCGCCATTGAATCCGGCAGTCTTCGTCCCCCTTGTCCGCCATCTAGAGGATCAATAATCTGTATTCTCCCTTCAGTACCCCACCATTAAAATCTCTCAACGAATTACTGTCTTGCCTTCCCTCATTGGTGCCATCGAATTGGTCGAATCCGTTTGCTCGTGCAGTCGTTTCCTTACTTCTCAAGGCAATCTGCTGCAGACGGGGGATCCACAAAAAAGTCGGCAAAGGAAGTGGATCTAGATGGGTTGAAGACCGGGTCAGATCTAAACAGAGCCGGCCACTTTGGTTTGATGTCAAGAGATTGGCGGTGTTTGAAGAAATGTCAACTTCAATCGCATACAAAGTGAGAAGACCTTACTTTTCTGTCTAATTGAAAGATATGAACAGAAAGCAGCAGCCCACGATGATGACAATCGGGTAAAGATTTTTTTTTTTTAATTTTCGAACTAAATTGGAGAGCTTGGTGTCGGGTCGATGCTGGTTTGTTTTTTTAGCTTGTTGGTTATTTAAATTAAAAAATTCCCTAAGTTCCATGCCCACTCTCATAGCTTTAATGTTGTATTTCGTTACTTAGCTAACTAAGAAAGGCCTGTAGCCGAAGGTAATGAAAGAAAGAGAAAAGAAAGAAAAGGGAAAAGAAGGATAATTGCCTATTGTTCTTGCTGCGTTATTTTTCATTAATAATGATATTGATTAGTATGTGAACAGGCGTATTTCTCTTGTCTTTTTAACTCTTTTTCAGAATTTCTTTTGGAAAACTCTTCTCCATTGACTGTAGTTTAATGTAGTCTTTTCGGATTGTTAAATGGATTTATGGATTGTCCAGAAATAGAGTTTGAACATGACTTATCAGTTCTGAAACATTCCTTCACAAAATCTGTTCTGAGTTTTTGGATGAAACTCATCTCTTTTTGTGCTAGTTTAACACTGTTTTGACACTTTGCTAAAAGAACTAATACTGTTTTGCTGAATGTGCCAGGCTTTATGAAGACGTTGTCAAGTCGTTTGATACAAAAAAAAAAAAGAAATACGTGGTAAGCAGCTCCTGACCCTCTTATATATGTCCGACATTAGATGAAAAGAATGAACTATCCCTAAGTGCTTTCAGCTTCTCTTTTGCTTGGAACAGATTGTTTCTTCCCTGACTTCTGCATGTTTCCCCTTCCTGCTAACTCTGTTGAATTTGGACTTAGAAATGGTACGCTTGAGTGTCAGCTCGATTTTGTGTGTGTGTGTGTGTGTGTTACTTTTAGACTTTTAGTTTCATGGTTTGTTTCATTCTGATTCGTTTTGTGAAGAGGCCCAAAAAGAGAGATATCTTTAAGGAAAAAAAGAGACACGCAAAGATGAACGCTGAAACTCAGGTTTATTTAGCTATGTCTAAGTTATGAATTTGCTTGCTCTTTGTATCTCAAGTGTAACATAGCTGAAACTCGGTTTATTTTAATTACATATTTGAGCTCACATCTGCACTGGTTTCTTTGGGTTAATTAATCATTTCTATTGATTTATTGCAATTATCTCTTCTTTATTCGTCCTATTTTTCATTAGTTTTGGCGGCTTGGAAATTGGATATTCAATTTGAAGGGAAATGTGTACTGAAATGATGTCTTTACCACTGTTTTTCCTAAACTTTCAGAATTGAGGGACTGAGACTGATTTTGAACTTTTCTTTGATTGAAAACACTTTTATGCCTTGTTTATCATCGTTTTAGAATCTTTTTAATTCATTTATGCTCGTGAATCTTTTCCTTGTTTTTTAAGTTGTATGCTTAGACTTTATGGATTGTTAACATTATTTGCAATTAATCTGAAACATTGGTTTGAAGATGGCTTTCCAGAGTGATGCTTTCTGAAATTCAAAATTTCAGATTTAGGAGACCACTCAAAAAAGGCATGTTGCATCATTCTGAAACCTTTCAATTTGTTCACCCTCCCCCTCCGAAACTCTTGAATACTCAATATTAATAGTTAGTTCATCCCAAATTAGTTCTGTTCATTCTAATGAATAATAATCTAAATGTGAACAAGTATTTTTTGCGCACTTTGGTAAATGAGTTGAGAGCACGGAGGCAAATACAATAAACTATGTCAAATTTAAAATTGGATTATGCTTCTGGCTAGTTTATGCTTAGATTACATTGTGA